AATACAGGTGTAGAATGGGGCGATGAAGGTGAACTTACTTTTCAGACAGTAGTCGATAAACGTGATTGGCCAACAAAGCAGCAACATAATGATTCTAATTCATCCGATGAGGATGATGAGGATCAACGAGACATGCACATGGAAATCGATTCTACAGAACGTATGGTTTAATTTTCATAATTATGATTTTATATCTTTCCTATAGAGGATACGTTTTTGATTTATTCTTTCTCGATATTAGAAAGCGGAAAAGAGAGTGAGTGAGTAAATGAATGTGTGAGTGAATGAGCGAGCAAGCGTATACGCATGAAAGAAGTTTGATGAATATAAAAATTTTTAATATTTAATATTTAATATTAATTGAAATATTTAAAGATTTTACTACAATATTGTGTCAATATTTCTTATTTTAGCTTGGGAATCAACAGAACAATTACCTACTAATACCACACTTCCTGAGGTGAATCCATGGGATGTCGTACCATCAGAACCAGTTGAATCTACTGGCTGGGCAAATTTTGATAATTTTGAAAACACTCTTAACATAGAAAATACTGTGATAATAGATAATAAATTGTGTGATGAACCTAAAAAAGAAACATTAAGTACAACATTTGAGAATAAAATGGAAACTCAATTGGGAAGCAAAGTAACTGTAGAAACTATTGGAGCAGGTGATATGAAAATTGGAGATACAGTTGATAGTATTGCTTCATATATAGGAACAAATATAAATCACCAAAGTACTGAAAGTAATTTGTATTCGGAATGTACTGCCGATAAAAATGCAAATCCAAGTGAAATTGTAGATAGCAGGTATGTAAAAAATATGTTATATTAATATTATAATATTTAAAAATATGATATAAAATATATGATATAAAATATAATATATATTTATATTTTTTTGTAAACTTTAGAGAAATCAAGTGCGAAGGAAACATAAAAAATACAGAATTAGCGACTACTACGGTACAAAATGAAAAGTCTTCGAACGATTATAAAATGTCAAGTAGTTTAAAAAATGCATCGGAAGCCATATTATCGTCAACAGATACCAAATGAAAAATTATTTGTTGAGTATGATATTGCAATAGAACAAAAAAAATCATATCAAGTATAAATTTGTACGAACGATCAGAATATATGTTTTACGTCCCTATATTTTCATTAGATCACATTAATTGTGCTTCATTGCGTTGGCGCCTGGGTAATAACTCACAGCAGGGTATAAATATGGATTGAAAAGTAAAAGACTAACCGACGCTCAACTATAAATAGAATATTACTTGATGTATATGTACATGTTCTCGGATCGCCAAAGTTTCAATTACAAATACAACTTCGTAAAATAGAATTTTCCAGTTTTTATTAATGGACATTGTTATTAAAAATTTCTTTCGATTTATATTTATATGTAATTAATATAAAAATCTAATTGGAATCATAAATTGAATAGTCATATTCTTTATATTGCGGATTTATGTTATTACATTAGCTTAACGAAGTAGAAAAAGTACGATTTGTACAAAATCAATGAACGCCAAGATAAAACGAACTTGGTCGCTCAATACCTGTTCACACAGAAGTATTACATACTAATGAGTGTGTATATATGTAAATGTACATACATATATATACACGTGCATACATATATTGTAATGTTTTAAGTGATATTGATACGAGGCTCCTTTAAAAAATCATCCTAAATAATATTTAATAAAAAAAACTGGTGCTTTTGCTTCTTCGTTCGATAAGGCAAAGGTACTTATGTGCAGTGCCTATTGTTTAATTAAACGTTTGCTCGTGCAACGATGCGATACAAACAAAAAAGAAAATTATGTATTTTTATTACGTTGATGGTAGTATTCATCCAGTGTATACACATGTAATGTAGTGAAATGTTTCAATAATGAATTTACTTTCATTTGCATTCCAATAAGAATTTAATTTTTAGTAAAACTTCTTAACTATAATAGTTTTTCAAAATGATCTTCCAAAAGTATAGTATTAAATTATAATGTTCGAAAATTAAAGGAATCTCTGCTCTTTCTTTCTCTTTTATTAATGTGTATAATTTTTTAAAACAAAATTTTGCGATTTAAGTTTTGTGATTTGATTGAAGATTCTGGTTATTTGAAAAATTCTTTTCATTAAAAATTTTTGGTATAATGTGTTTATAGTAACGTACATGAAATATTGTACATAAATAATAAATATAAGCGTGTTCAGAATTAAAACAAGATATTATTATTACTTCAAATGTTATTTTTATTTGATATTATGTAATATTGTTAGCATTACAAAAAAATTGCGTTTTATATATATATATATATATATATATAAAATAAGAAATCCCAATTCATTGATTTATAAATTATAAAAAAATAAAAATGGAAGGGTACAATTAAAATGTATTGTAAACATGATTGAAATATTTTTAAATAATAAAATCGTAAATTTCATTATATTTTATCATATTAAAAATTTAATTTATTTAAATAAATAATTTTTTTTTAATGAATTATAAATTATTTATATAAATTGCAATTCAATAATAATAATAAATATTCACATTTAAGTATAATATTTCAAAGCAATAAAAAATTGCTATAATTTCTAATTGAGGGAATACAATATTAGTCTTATTAATAAAAGAAATTTGAAATAACTATAATCTTATTTTTATTACTTTTATTTAATATTTAAAATGTAACATTTATAAAAATTATATACTAAGATTGAATAAAATAATAATTGAATTCTTAATTTAATAATTATATTTTCCATTAATGTATCGACACTATATCGGTTATTTTATAGATTTGAGTAGAGAATAGTAGAGAGAGAACTAACGATTTGAAGATGCCATCTACCGAAAAACATGATGTACTATTAATTTATTTATTATCTACTAAATAACTTAAAATGTGTTAAGTATATTAAAATAAAGTATATCGAATTTCATAATTAGAATTAAATAAAATGATCAAAAAATTTTTCGTTGCTATAGATACGATTTAGTAGAAATAAATATGTGAAAAAAAAGAAAAATTAAGTAAATACTCCAAAAGAACTTTTTGTTCTATCATTTCTAAAATTATATTCTCTTGATATAAAATTAAAAATTTGAATAAAAACTTCTATTCCGGAACTGAAAAAATTTAACATTATTATTCCTAATGTCGAATTATATTTTTTTATGTCAAAAATTTTAATTTTATATTAGGAGAATATAATGTGACAAGAGATGGCATACAAAATTTTTGCAAAAATTCTTAGATTTTTTTAAATTTTTATTCAAATTTTTAATTTTGTATTAAAAAAATATAGTTTGACTATATATTGTATATTAAATTTTTATAGGAATTTCAGACAAAAGTTTTTTTATTTATTAAATATCGGTAATTATAATTAAAATAATTAAATAAATAATAATTTATTATTTATTAATTTAATTTCTCTATTTTATTAGAAGAATGTAATTCAATAGGAAATAGTATATGAAATTTTTTTAGAAATTTTGAAAACAAAAATTTTTATGAAATTTTATATACTTATTTTTATTTATAAAATATTATATATTTATTTTTATTTATAAAATATTTATCATTTGCATATTTATCTATTACAGATGCTATTTTTTTTAATCATTTTATATATGTTTATATAATGTAATATAAATATATTTATCTCTTACAAGAATCATTTTGCAATACATTTTTCAATAATTTTTTTAATCCTTCTATTATGAGCAATGTGAAAATCGTATTTTATGTAAATATTTACTTATCATCATCTATTACTGAATTTATTGATATGAGATGATATACATTTGATTATGAAATCATGAAAATATGAACGATGTACAATAATTCACTAATCGCAAAAATAAATGAAGTGCATTAAATCAAATGAATTTTATACGATAAACGATTTTTTTGCAGATCATAGTAACATTGCGATATTATATATGTATATATAATAATAATGATCTTTGACAGTTGAGCTTTGATAGCTCAACTAAGCTTAAAATTCGTTTAAATAATTTAATATTTTCATATTAAAGAATTTATATTTTTAAAGTCAGAATAAATAAAATAAAAATTAATGATTAGTTATATTTCATGAGCATTATTAAAAAATTATTTTTGATATGAGAAAATATAATTTCACTTATTGATTATTAATTTTCATCTTGTCTTTATTCTTTTTTTATTTTCTCTATTCTTTATTATTTTCTCTTTTTGTTTTTACATGCTATTGGCTACTGATCACAACAAAATACAGATCAATTGAATATTTTCATTCTTACTTTTTTAAAAATAAATATAAAAAATATAAATATTACATTTTTGGCTTTGAAATATATAAATTTTATAATATGTAATATAATATATATATAATATATATTTGTCGATAAAATGATATATGATTATTTGACATAAAGTATTATTGTAAGAATGGAATTTAAACAAATGAAAATCTAACCCGATAATAAAGGAACTGAAAAGGAATTATGAACTATTTTAAATGTAAAGAAGTGACACTACATACTCTGTCTTTAAATTTTACGGCATTGGATTTTGTTCAAAAATTGATCGAATTTAAACATTTTATTAAAAAATTTCTATCCTCTAATAGATATTCAGTATTAACAATATTTTCAAATTTACAGATTTTTTTATTATTTATTATTTATTTTTTAAATTTATTATTTCTTCTAAGATAAATAATTGTGCGGATTTTTTCAGATTCATAGAAATATATCTAATAAGAATAATTTTTTACTTAACAATTTATTAATATTATTGATTTTAATAAATTATAATTAAATTCAATATAATTCTAAGATTCATCTTCATTCTTTTAAATTCCATAACATTCTTTTAAATTCTATTCCATAACAATTACAATAAAATTTTAAATTTTTTATACAAGTTATGTCAATGTTATATAATGTGAAATAACGTGAAGTTTCTTTTCTACATTTCAATTATTCTATGTTTATCTCGTTAAGTTTATGTTTATATCACAATGAGGGCGAATGTGTAGCCAAAATCTCAAAATTTTAACTTTGATATTAATCAAATATAAATACCTATCTAAAAATTTTATTCACTTCATTATTATATTATTGTGATTGTAAATTAATCTGAAAAATAATATATCAATTTTGTTATTTATTATTATTATTATCTCTTAAACAAAAATTGAACGCAACGAAGTAAGCCAATTTTACATGATTACGTCATATTTAATATATAGGAAAGTGAAATAATATTCGATATGTTATAATTCTCAATCATTTTTCTTGAACAGTATGTATTTAAATAGAATTAAATAGAATAGTATCTATATTTTATATTTAAATATATTTTAATAATAAATTATAAATTAAATTATAAATTGATATGATATATCTGATATATCATATATTTAAATGTTAAAATAATGTTAAAATATATTTTTAATGTTGTTTTTTAGTTTGATGGAGATTTTTCGTATTATTAGACGTTATTGGGTTATAACTTCTATCCCTCTTTTGACTGCTACTTTTATTATCTTAGATTTAAATCGTACTCGAAATTGGAAAAAACAATTAAGTGCACAGAAAAAATTAGAATTAAATAATTGAAATGGCATTCTTAAAAACATCACTTATAACACAATATAGTTTGAGTGTTGCTGGGTTTATTGGTGTATATATTTTGTCACGCCATTTATATAATTATGCTTCTGATTTAACAATGACAAGTTATCGTGACAAATCAGCTTTATATGGAAGAGAATTAAAACCTGGAGAACCTCCGTCTTGGCCGTAATATGTTAGTTATATTCCCTAAAAAAACAATTTATATTTTAAAAAATGTAAAGTTCATTGTAACTATAAAAGAATAATAAACTAGTAGTAATGTAACATGTATTAATTATATAAATCATTAATTTCTTTTTAAGATAATTAATATACAACATATTGAAATATTGCATTAACAAAATGTTATTTCTAAACTTCAAATGTTTTTATTTCCTAAGTAATTTTTATTGTAATTTTGGTATTTTGATATTCTAAATTATCATGAATAAATCTATGGATTTTTTATTCCAATTGATCTAATTTTTAAATCTTTAATAAATTTTTCAAAATTCCTATATTTTATATAATTAAATAAATTAAATTTATATAAAATTTATATGAAATATATATTATCAACATTAGAGATAATGTGATATTATAATTTTTAAAATGCGTCATTGTTATTATATGTAAAAACAAATTTTGATTATTTGTTTCTAGATGATATTTCAAATTTATAATTTATATTTTTATATATTAATTATATTATAGTCAATAATATTTTTTAGCACATTTTATTTTAGTTTATTATTACATTTTCTATATTAGATATATCATAATAAATTAATAAATATTTAACTAAATATATTAATTTCATATAATTAAATTAAATTTTTGTATACTATTTTATCTTAACAAAAATGTAAAAATAACTTCTTTTTTCAACAAAAAAATTTGTGCTTTAATGATACATTAAAAAGATGAATATATATATATTTCATAAAATATAATTATTTTATTACATAAGTAATTATAATAATAATCAATTTTCATTAAATATATATCATACACATTAAATGCATATCAAGTTTCACTAATGTGAAACTTACTAAATTTTGATTAATATATGTATTTATTTATTTCATATAGAAATAAAATTAACAACAAATTTAAAAAAGTTTTATAGTTTTCAATATTTTTAAAAATATATTATAGTTATATTTCATATAATTATTTTTAATGAAAATTAATATCTATTTATAATTATATTAAATAAAAAAATGAAAAAATAAAATAAAGTAGATAGAAATTATAAAAATAATTGTATACTTTTGAAAATTTCATAATTTATATTATATTAAAGATTTTCCTTAATTTAGATGTTTTCAATATACATTCATTGTATAGGAGGCGCTAATATTAATTCATTAATTCAGGGCCATCTAGATGTCGCTTTAGAGTGTAAACTTTATATAAAATTATTTCTTATTTATTCTTATATTATTTGAGTCTAGAATATATAATTTATATAATTAATATATGAAAAATATTTTATAATTAATTCTTAAATGAAAATTTATGTTTTTTTAACATATAATCAATTATTATCTTTCCCGCCTAATATGGAATATCATTGACGTGCGCACGCATATCGATTTGACCAATAGTTTCGTAAATCTTACTGAAAACAGTATCGTAAATAGTAAAATATGCTACATAAAAATGTAAAATTGAATGTGATTATAAATATTGAATTATATTGAATATATATTGAATAACATAATTAATGAAAATATATATTGAAAAAATTAATATACAATTAATTAAAAAATAAATATATAATAGTAATTGGGATACATATATAATTATTACAATTATTGTTTTGTATAAATGAAATAAATGATTACACATACGAATATTTCATTTTTTGTTGTTAATAAAGTTAATTTAATTGAACAACATTAATATTTTAATTAATATAAATATCAATTTTATAATAATAAATATTTTCAGAAATAATTTTAATTTTATAAATATATATAATATATTAATAAGAAAAAACATAATTTGTTTCAAACAATCATTAAAATATATGAATGTTATCAAATCTTATTTTTATATAAATGAAAAAAAAAGAATATAGAATGGGGTGCAAGTAATGTTTTATACGGCAGTGTAAGTTGCGTCGTTGGCAGCAGAACGATGAAGAGCAGAGGGGGTTAGAAGTTTGCATCGTTGCGGTGTTGCAGCTGTCCGCCATTGCTAGGGAGTTAACTTGGATACTAGGCTAGGCGAGGATCTCGGTGCTTACCGTGTGCCCCCTCTCCCTTTCATCGTGGAAAAAACTATTTAGTGATTTCGTGTTACGATTTTGGGTATTTTGAGATCCGGGCGATTTCGAATTGGTCTTGATTCGAAAGGAATGGAGAAGAAGAGGCAACCAACAATGATTACGACCAGCGAGACTGTGTTACATACCAATCTTCTAACGACGACTGGTCAGCGTCTTACTCCAACAGGAAAAATCAGCCATGCCAAGACGCGTGTCTATACGCAACGATATCGTAAAGAATGGGAACAAATGCCTGATTTTAAAGGTACTCCCTGTTATTATTTATTGCTTGTTTTAAAATAGCTCACTATCGAATAAGAAAAATATTCATTTCTATAATGCGCTGTATATGTGCCATGCTGGATACATGCATACAATAATCGTTTCAACTTCATTTCGTCACGGCTTTAACCAGCATCAACTTTGATTAACAAATTATTTTTAGAGAGTAAATGATTCTCGCATATATTTGATTTTTCTTCGTTACACCAAGAACTGCTGGATATATTTTTCAATTTTAAGCATTTCCAGACATGACATTCTGATACTTTGTTTCTTCATTAAAATTTAAAATTACACATGATTATCATTTATTATTTCGAATACACATCTATTTTTATACAAAATAAACAATTATGAAATAATTAATTATATTTAAATATTTTAAATCTATGATTTAATATTTATATTTAAATAATTTTGAATGTGAAATTTTTTATAAAGATAAAAAAATTTAATAGATTGTATTCATCAGTATACAGCATGATTATTGAATACTGTTGTATATGTATCATGTCACTAGCGTTAATAAGTTACCAGTAAAAATACTACTGGTTAAGTCAATCTTCAAATCGATGTTACCATACGGTTAAAGTGTGTTTAGTGAAACTGCACGTTGCACGGGAAATTGTATCGCAATCTTTTAAAAGAAGAAATAATATTTACGAAATAAGAAAAAAATACTTGATATGATATTTTACCGTAGGATGGTTGACATCCGTACCATTTCAACCAACACGTGCCTATTGTATGTATTGCAAGAAAAATCTTCATGCGCATCGACTGTCTTTATTAAAACATACATGTACGATGAAACATCAACGTGCAGCTCTATTACACGAAGCGGAAGAAAAAAAGAAGGCTGCAGCCCGAAAGGCAAATATAGGAGAAGAGGTTGAAGTAGAAGAAGTTGAAGAAATTGAGGTTTATATTTTTAATTATATTAATATATTTTAAGTTATTAATTATAAATTAATTATAAGTTAAAGTAAATTAAGTAAATAATTTTTTATTTATTAAATACATATAAGATATTATGAAAAATATATATTATATATATACATATTTGTATATCTATAAGTAGATATTGTATTAAGCAATATTTTAATAGAAATCGATTGAAACATTAGGCTATAGAACATACTCAAACTGAAATAGAAGAAAATGAAGATGAAGTGGAATATGTTGTTGAGAGATTAGAAACAGATGATGAATTGGATGAGGCACAAATCAAAGATCCAAGTGAAGATGTTGGAGGTGAAGTTGAAGATGAAGAAGAAGAGGAAGAAGAAGAAGATGTATCACATTTACAAATGCCTTCTGATGAAGAAGATGTTAAACATTCTATAAAAAAAATTAAAATAGAAAGAGTGGTGAGTAGTTATAGTTATACAATTGATTTTTTCTTGAAGTTTATTTTAATAATATATATTATATTAATGATTTAATTATATTGATTTTATTAATGATTATATTATATTAATTAATTATATTAATAGGAAAATTGTGAGGATTCTTTGACTGAGGCTATGGATCATATGCAAAGTGAATATTTAGAAGAAACAGATAATCATGGAACTGTACAAATGGAAATGGTTGTAGAATCAGAAGATCAAAGTAATTCAGAAATGCAAGTTGTATCGATTCTTCCTGACACAGAAGATTCTAATAAAGAATCACCAAAGGAATTGCGTGAAAATGGAAGAACAATTCGACGAAATGACGGTAAATTAGATAGAAAATCTGCAAAATTATTGGTAAATATTATATATAACAATATAAAAAATATTATTACAAATAAATGTTAAATAAAAAATTTTAATAAAATATTGATATTTTAGCAAGATGAATGTAAACAAGGAGATTCGGGAATAATGATGGCATGTCCATTGCCTATTTTAGGCACAGCTTATCAAATTAATTCTTCGGTTGCATCTACTACTAATACAATTGGTGTGCTTCAACCTGTGAATACAATTCCCATTGCACCTGCACAAAATAAAACGATTACTTTAACATCGGGTGGCAAAACTTTAACTTTAACAGGTGGTACATTCCAACCTGGTACTCAGTATGTACTGAGTAAATTAAAGGGTAAATTTCCTACGTTGGTAATGGCTGATAAGAAAACTGCAATTGCAGCTAATCAAGCAGAGGACGCCACAAAAGGCGTTCAAATAACCAAGGATCAACTAGCTGTAGCAAGTACTAGTTATCAAAGTCCGAAAAAAGTATGTCAGTTTTTGTAATTGTAAATTAATAATATCTTTTTTCTTATCAAGTTTATACTTACAAATATTATATTTGTTCTAGCATGTACTTTTAAAAACTATTAAATCCCCTACGGTTAAAAAGCCTCGTATTTCTACTCACGTCGTAGATACAAGTAAAGGTTTACCAATTGGAGGTTTGCAAGTTAGCCTTTATAAATTAATGGATGGAAGATGGACTTTTTTAAATGAAAGGTATAACATATGAATCAAATATTTATTTCATCAATATAAAATCAATATTTTTTTATTTCAGTAATACAAGTCCAAATGGTCGATGCGTAGATTTGGTGGATAATATGAAAGTTAATTTCACAGCTGGACGTTATAAAATTCATTTTGATGTTGATAAGTATTTTACACTAAGGAGAATAGAAACAATGTATCCGTTTATCGAAATTGTTTTTGACGTAAAAAATCCTGCTGGGCATTATCATATACCGGTGCTTCTGAGCCCATTTGGCTATACCACTTATCGTGGTTCTGAAAGATGAATATTAATCAAATCATCATGTCTATTAGATATTTTGTTTCTTTGTAAAAACATTAAACTTCGTAAAAATAAATATTTTTTACGATTTCAAGTACAAACGAAAACTAATACATCAATCGTGTTTTCACGAATATTATGTGATTAAAAAAAAACTATTTTTAGGTTCATATTTAATAGAAATAGAAAAAAATATATAAATAAAAATGTAATCAAAAATTCATATAAATAGGTTTTAGGATATGTGTATATGTGTGTATTAATATAAATTGAAAGATTACTATAAAAAATGGGTGGGTATAATCATTAATAGGATTATTAAATTGTAATGCAAGAATCTGTGAAAAAATATATTTTATTTCTTAGTTTATAAAAATTTAATATATTCAATAATGCATTAACTACTTTGCGATTACTCGAATAGAAAATATTTTCTATGAAAAAAAGATAATATTCGAGTAATACATTAATGATCATCTTTCTGAAAATTAATTGATTCTAAGATGATCATGAGATCACTGACTTACTTTAAAAGCATTTAGGTTATTGCGTTGATCGATAAATTATATAAAGTAATTAAGAAGTATGTAATATCGATAAAATTTTTGTTCAAGAGATCATGATGTTGAAGAATTATGAGAAAAAATTTATAATTCAAAATTTACTTTTTGAATTATAAGATCAACAAAAAAATTTTTATCCAAAATATTAAAGCATTGAAAGCTCATTAGAAGTATAGTCAGAAGAAGCTAATAGTAATTCTATTGTGGTGGTAGATACGTTCTATTAACATTGTTTTTCGTTGTGGGTGGTAGGTACGAATTAGATTTAGAACCATTTTTATCTCTCAGTCTATGTCCAGAATCAAAGGGAATATTATGATTATTATTTGCAGCGCCGGTACCAAACTTAAAGCTGGCTCTATTTCCATTCTCATCAGCCTCGTATCTTGAAAGATATATAAAGTAAGAAAAAATTTTCATTGAAAAAGATAAATCGATAAGGATAAAAAATTGTTGCTCACTTAACAGAAATGAAAAGATTTTCGGGGCTATTGTAAGAGAAGTTTCCTTTTACAGTTCGCACTAGTTCACCGTTCACTAATTTCAGCATTTCTGTTTCCTCTTTTTGCACGTTATCCACCGGCGCATTTACATTTGAGATCGGACGATTCCTGGCTTTATTGTCCTCGAAGGGCGTATTCAAGATCAGTCCACCAGAACCTCGAGCAAATAGAGGTGCTTTTTGATCGGGAGATAACTTTTCACCGGTGCAATGCCACGTGCCAAGAATCATTAGCCAGAAAATCTGGAGAATCCATTTACAAAGTGATTAGTAAGAAATGGGATAAAATATAATTAACAAAAACAGTTTTCAGAAAACGTTGGGCGCATATTACAGAAATCATAATAATATAGATATTTCTTTTCAGATGATCATATATATACATTTTATGAAAATTAATCTTTTTTTTCTATACAAAATAAATAGTTATTTGTCTGAAATAATTTTGACTTTGAGCAATTAATGACTTCTTAACCAATGAGAACAAACAATACGATCTTATAATTTGTTAATTCTCTTCATCGTATCGAAAATACGAAAATATTTATATTTAATTCATTTTCATTTGATTGATTCGAATCAATAATTATAACATTTTTTGATTAAAGATATGATCTTTTTTAATTTAAATTTTATTTATGTCGCTTCATATAAAAGTAAACTAATGTCTTAAACTTGTTATCCTAATCATGAACTATATATATAAACGCGCGTATTTATATAGGAGGAAAGCTTGACAATATCATGATACAATTTCAAATTTCAAAGCAAGGAATTATTTTGAATCGAATTGGATACATACCAGCGACTGAGGCACAATTTTCCAAGTGATCATCATCACCATAGATCAATCACTCTCGATAACACTTTAAATGGCATCCCCTTTAGCACTCGCGACGATATCGGTGGATTTTAGAAACCACTGACATCTGCGTTCCTTCACTTTGCCAGCTTTTATATACCCGATACTAGCTATATGCAAGGACGATGCTTTTTTCCCCTTCTCTGATCATCGATTGTCACAGAAGTCGTGAAGATCACAAATCTTGTGTTCATTCCTTGAATAATCTCGTATTTAGGTCTCTTTTTTTTCTTATAATATTATCTTTTGTAAAGTATTGTAAAATATATCACAAAAATTTATGTATTTATGTATTATGTATTTTTCAATCATATCATTTTTTCAGTTTTGAATTAAATTATATTGAATTTTTCAATTTCTAATTTTAAAATGTAAAAACAAAAAATATATTTTTAAATTTTTGTAAATTTTGTAAATTTTTGATAAATCACAAAAAAAATTCATAAGCAATAAAGCATATATAAAATAAGAATTATTTAATTATAATAAATATCATTAATCAAATAAAATAAAATAGTAAATAAAAGATGAGAAAAAATTGAGTCAAAATTTAAGAGTATTCGAAAAATTAATTGAATCGCATATGTGATTATTTGACAGTTTAAATTGTTCTCTTCGAGTATTATGTAATGTATTAAAGAATATTTTTTAAGGTGGGATAAAAAAAATCTCACATTGAACATACTACATTGTATATGTCTCTTAGGATATACATGGAGCGATCACCGTTCCCGATGAATTACTCTCAAGAGACGTGCGCTCATACGCTCACGTATTCGTTTGCGATTATTTTCTCTCGACCGTGGAGATGGTTGGATTTATCGCCATCCGTTTGGCACGCGATTCAAAGGCCAACGTCGTTACGATGGATGAGATTTCGTTCTTTTAAGGGCACACGGGCAAACAATACGATCTCTAAATCGTTAATAGGATACATTTGCTCTTTCGTAGGTAGTAGTAATATATAGTCGCGCTGACATTTTACCCTTTTATTCCGTCCTTTCGCACCAAACCCATTCGCATTCCGTGTATGCCCGGTAGTTGGATACGACGATTCGATTTTTTTTCATGATCGATCTCGATCTCGATCTCGATCTTTGATCAGAGTAAATCCGGATTCAGAGATCATCAGGTTCGACTTGAATCTTGTCTCCCTTAATCGACTAACTGATTTAATCACCGATTTAATTTACCGTTCTTCGAACTTCGAACTCGGATGAACGACAAAGCAAAAGATATGGAAGGGTCGTTGTCCTTTCATAGTTGATCGTTGGTGAATGGCCAGGTTACCCTGTTTGAAAGTAAGCATTTAAAGTTTTTCTTGAGTTTGAACCAATGTACCTTTGAGAATGTTCCGATAGGATGTTCGATGGCTGCACGTTTCTGCATCAGTCGTTCGCACGATGTAACGATTTCATAATTCGAACGGCTATCTCGGTACCAAGAGAAAGAGAGAGAGAGAAAGAAAAAAGGGTCTATCATTTAGAGAGAGAGAGAAAGAGGGGGGAGGAGGGAGAGAAAGGACTCTGTATTTAAAAATACTCATGCGCATCCATACTATCATGTAATTTGCTACTTATCGTACGTCGTAAGTCGACTTTCCACGATGAGATAGATTTATCTTTCGTGATTTATATCTGACTTTTCCAGCAATCCTTTCATATTTTATCTCATATAGTTAATTTTTCGATAGTTATCTGTTCGATTTAAATGAAAAACATATAAATGAAACATATATAACGAAGGAATTATCGCGCGACCAACAATTAAATTTCGAGCAACTGTTAATTAATTCGTATAAAATCTTTACAGAGTTATTGAGATGATTTTAGAGTTTTATTTTTTGTTATTACTAATTATTGAAATTGATTAGTATGCGTTTCTAAATGTATAAATAAACAAAGGTTAAAAACTATATAGAGGAAGATATTCATGTGAACCGTATCTTTTACCTGTATTCTTTTCGAGTTGAAAAAAAAAAAAATGTAGAAAGGAAACAAGTGGTGGGATTGATTTTTCTTGAGACTTTTTTCTACTCTGTTCTTTCGTTTTTTTTTTTTTTTTTCTTAACAAGACATTTAATATTCGCTCAATACCTGTAAGCTCAGCAAAATTAACATTTTGCATGGGAACAGACGTTAAAGAGTTTTCGGTGGATTCGATTCGTTCGTAACGTTTTCTCGCGCTATTCGACGACTTGCTCGACTCTTTTTACTTATCTTCGATCGATTGAAAATATTTCGCCGAAAAAAATCACCTCAGAAGATATATACATTCATATTTAGATTTAGACTATTTTTTTAATATCTATAAAGTACCATTGATATAATCGTCCAGAGCTCGAAAATATAGCGAAGAAAATTTCAATAAAATTCATATTGAGAAAAAAATTAATTAAATTTTCATACTTAATTATTTGCCATGAAAATACGAATTATTAACTTGACTTTCTATTCCATAATATATGTAAATCATTTATTAAGACAATAATCTTTGAAATGATTTATCGTCAAGAAAATAAAATTTTCGATATCATAAACAATGTTAATTTTAAAATTACATTTATGATTTTCTTTTTTGTAAATATAAATTATTATTGTAATACGAAAATAATTTTTATGTTCAATATGATTTTCAACATGTGGTTCGTCGGTTAAGCTCTGAATCTAATGTTATAGTACTTTTTACATATTAAAAAAACGTCCTACACTGAGGCGCTTAATGGACAAACTTCGACGATATCTTACTTTTAATAACATACCGTACGTGTGTATACGAATTATTCTTAACTTGTGTTTGTGAACGTATCTCTGTTCCGCGTACACACACGTACATCTTTACTTAGTAAAATAATAATTTTAAATCTTCATTGCTCAGCACCTTTTCTCCAGCATTACGTATATCTCGTATGATCAAACACTCGATTTCTCTCGATACAAAATATATGTAATTTGATACTCGATGAAACCAAAAACATTACCGTAAATTTCGAATCCGTTGCATTCTTTCCTCATAACGAATATTTCGTTCGCTCAAATTTTCACCAGTTTTAACACCGAAATGTTTTTCAAATTAGCTTAATAGAGAATTCATGTAGATATACTTTACATAAAAAGAGTGTTATTAAAATTGAATAGTTTTGACGCGATAACGAGAAATTGATGTTTTTTTTTATCGAAATGGAATTTAATCGAAAAAATTATATGATATTGAAAATTAAGGCATCTATAGTTTCATTATTCCTTCAATGATAATTATGCTTATATTTTTATAAAAATCTTTTCTCAAATATTTATTAATATCAATTCAAATGAATAAATATATTAAATATTTTATAACTGCAAAAGATTAGGAACTGGAAATTTGTAATTATTCAACATATTAATTTTTATTTCTGATACGACTTGATCGGAATTTGTTTACATTTTTTCCCCGAATATAGAAAAAGAAAGCGAGTGAACGAGGAAGAACGTTAAAAATCGAAACTCGAAAAATCTTATTGAAGTTAATGAAGTAATAAAATTTTTTTTAATTTTTTATTTTGTAATGCAATTTATATCATCATGTATTTATAAGATTTTTCTGATTAAAATAAGATTATTATATAGTTTGGATTATTTTTTACGTTTAATACATAAAAAAATATAAAATTTATTATATTTTATTAAATACATTATTATAATATTTGGATTTATTTTAAAAAAATATTAATTTTAAAAAAAACAAAAATAAAAATTTTAACAATAAATTAGTATTATCTCACGAATATTTGATTTTGAATAAGATTAAATTGCTCAAATATCGATTTCACGATGTATCAGAAACTTTTGCAATAATATCCGTCCGTCAGTTTTGCACTTATAAAATATTTATTTTATTTTGCAAATAATCAATCGTTCATGAATTAAGAAAAATTATACTCGTCAAAACTATTGCAGTTCAAAAAGTTTCCAGTGTAAAGTTTGAATATTCATGTAGATTTGATATATTATTAGTTTGAAAAAACACGAATCAGAGCAGAATTCACGGAAAAGTTTTTAGGATTGTTTCAATGTATCCACGTTTTATATGCGTGTGCGTGAATGTGTACACGCGAGTGTGTAAATGCATAAATATATATATATATGTATGTATGTTTTTTCAGGGATAAACACGTATTATTTTTTAATTATTTTTCCCATTTCAGGTTTTCTTACTGGTACGTAATCTCCGATTTACAATTTACGAGGACGCGAGTAAATTATTCAGGATCTTCTTCTTACTTACAGTTTTATATTACACTCTGTGTACCCTACAATTGCAACAGTGTATAATGAATGAAAAATAAAGGAAATCTTAATTTATTTCTGGTATCGACATTGTTCCTTCTTCTGTTCTTTATTCCATCCTCCTTTACCAAATATCGCAGAGATTTTTTATAAATATCTTTTATTCCGGCAATCTAGAAAAAATATGCGGATATGTATATTAAAAAATACAGACACTCGCGCAGACACGCATCACGCACACACGTACAATCATTAACGCGACCAAGCAATTCTCGATAGAGGGCGTGAACTCTTGCGCCCTCTCTTTCTGTACAAGGAACGACTCATGAAGTGAACAGTTCTTCTCGTGTAGTGAAAAAACATGATTCAACTTTTTTTTTCTCGTTCCTTACATAACAAGTATGCACAGAACCGATCAACGGTTTTTCTTCCAAGAAACACCAAAACGTTTCTATATAATGTACGTTTCGTAAATTTATTCGTACGTTTCGCGTCTTTTATTTTGTTTAATATCGTATCTTTTTAGATTTATATATCGTTAAAAAGATTTCGCTTTGAAATACACGTAAATACATGCAACAAGTAAAACAAAACGTATGAAGCGACGAAAGGACGCGTCAAAATAAAAACACATCGATAAAAAATAAATAAATAATTTGTAAACACGTGCATGATTGTTAAAAATAAAAAATAAAAATATCTCGAGAAAGAAATCGCGCGCTCTGCCGTTTATGAGTTATCATAGTTTTCTTGATGTATAATTTAACTTATGCAGCTGCAATAATCGAAAAAGGATAGAATGCGGAGAGCAAGCTGTCGTCGAATATGTTTGTCCATACGAACTAGAATAGAACGTTAACGCGTTCTCGCACTTTTCGGATCGCCGACAATCACACTTTTTTGTTCAAAAAATATCACGATATTTACACATTTCATTATTTGACGATCCTGAATAGTTACTCACGCGTTTGGACTGGCGAGCGCCAGCTCGCTTTAATTATAAGTTTTTTTTTTCGACAGGTTTGCGTTTTTTTAATGCGAGGTGTAGAAAACAATAGC